ACCTGATCATCATTATCATCTTGCTTTGTGTCATTATCAGCCAATTTTCATTTGGAAAGAAACTATTTAACAAGATTGCTGCATTTCGTGTGAATAATATTGTGTTAGCTCGTCCTCTTCCTCGTCAGAACAATTTAGATGAATGTAGTTCCTTCTATCAGTCCTGCAATGATAGAGAACCACTTCTCAACTCATAATAATTATTATAATGTTAATGTCATAACTCCAGTATATAGTCAGTTGTGCTTTACTTTTTAATTAGCACCATAAATTCTGTTCTGCACACATGCCACACAGTATAAAATAACTATTAGTTTTAACTGTAAGTCACAATGTTTCGTGTTACAAATGACACCTTTACCTACACACGCATGTTATCAAACTTATTTTTCAAGTTTACTATTATTGATCTGAGGCCCTTTAGAGTTAATATAATTTTCATTCTGTTAAATTAACATTGATTCCCAATTCCCAATGTTTGTTAGTACATGCTGTATTACCATTATACTGCTTGTAACATGATGATAGATAATGGTACAATAATTTCTTAATTGTCACTAATTGCTGGTATTGTCAATGCTTGCATTCTTCAACAATCCTTTATCACTCAAAGACAGCAATTGACTCAAATATCTAAATATATGTATCTCTTTTATACTGACTGTTGTAGTCTAAAAGATGCTTCACAAATAAAGTTTTCCAGTCCCCACACTTCCTGAAGGCCAGGGGGAAAGATCGTGAAACATTGTACATTATACCAGTGAATGGTATAATGTACTGCTAGTAGACCAAGTAGTTAGAGTGCTTGCATTATTCACTTCACATTCATCTCATCATGCATAAATACTGTAGTACCATATGATAACATGATAGTTTGTACTATTCTTAATGTACAGATCCAGAGTCAATGACTCTATACATTGAGAATAGTATGAACTATCAAGTAATCATATAGACATTACAGTAATGTACTGGTATGGTAAATTAGTGAATAATGCAAACACAGTAACCACTTGGCCTACAAGCAGTACATTATGCCATCCACTAGCTGGTATACTTCAACATATCAAGGAACTTCATGTCTTTAGTTACCTGTAGATCTAAGTAACTGATGCAATTAGTATAATGTATACCTGGAGTTATGAGCACTTTTTTAAAACTATGGCCTTATTTAAAAATACGCCATTTTCTGAAAAGTATCCAAGGCTATAGCCCAGTTGAAAAGGGAACAGAGCTCTCAAAAAATTTATTATGAAAAAGGGTAGAAATAAACATGTAGGTTAAGGAAAGGAATATAAGGAAGAAAACAAAGAACAGGTTAAAGATTGGTTAAGGTAAAGAAAGATACACAAAGTGTAAAATAATAATAATAATAGTAATAATAATAATAATAATAATATTGATAATAATAATGATAATGATAATAATAATAATAATAATAAAAATTAAAAAAAGGAATAAATCTAAGAAATACCAATGTGGGCATCAGAGGCCGCTCTGTCAAAATCTGAATAGTCAACTACTTTGCCACGATGCCGGGTACCCCTTATACAGCGAATTGCAGACCGAAGGATAGTGAATGAATATTGGCAGCGAATGAAATTCATTGTTGAGTGGTAGGGTCTGTTAAATTTGTCAGTGTAGAGGAGAGAGAGTCTCTTGAGGAAGGAGGTGGTGAGGGGGCTACAGCCGCCCGAGGTGGAGAAAATAAGGGGAGTGAAGGAGGAATGCTCTACTTCCCTCACCCTTTGCTCATACTTTCTTTTCTTCTTTAGCTCATTGTCTCGGTAGCATGCTTCCAAAGTGCGAGATTTGTTGTATAGCCCATAGTTTTTTCCAAAAATTGGCTCCAAAATCACCCCCAGTTTTTATTACATTTTTTGATTCATATTGACATCCTTATGCTATGTAGAAAATTTGAGCTGATTCCAACTTCAATTTTTTGAGTTATGACCTTATTTAAAAATATGCCATTTTCTGAAAAGTACCCAAGGCTATATATAGCCCATGGTTTTCCGAAAATTGGCTCCAAAATTACCCCCAAGTTTTATTACATTTTTTGATGCATATTGACATCCTTATGCTATGTAGAAAATTTGAGCTGATTCCGACTTCAATTTTTTGAGTTATGACCTTATTTTAAAATATGACATTTTCTGAAAGCCCATGGTTTTTCCAAAAATTGGCTCCAAAATCACCCCCAATTTTTATTATAGATCTGTCTACAAATCCAGTCCCAAAAGGTCTGAGACCTGGCCAGAAATGGAGAAATGTTCACTCTCTTTTTTCCCTGGCCCCCAAGAGGTGCATGTGGAGACTGAAAAACTTTATTCACGAAACATCTTTTAGACTACACGACAGTCATTATAAAAGAGGTATATTTACAGGTATATTAGATATTTGAGTATTGCTGTCCTTGAGTGATAAAAGATTGGTGAAGAATGCAAACATTAACAATCCAGTGATTAGTGACAATTAAGAAATCATACCATTATCTATCATCATGTTACAAGCAGTATATGGTAATACAGTATGTACTAACACACATATGTACCTGAACACAGTTTATATTACTAATGTCAGTATATTGTATTATATAGAGATACAGCAGTAAACCTTACTTAAGAATGATAAGGAGTGGTAACACTTTGGTGGCTCCAATTAGTGAACATACATACAGTATTGTAACTGGAGCTATGGGGAGTCTACACATCAAAGGACCTTCACTGGTTTCTGTATATTGCATACTTTGTGGCTTCTATGATGATATAAAGTGATAGACAGTAAGAGCTGAATTCATCGTAATAGAGAAACAACTAAAATGGGATCAGGACTACTAACACTAATTATACTAGTAAGATACAATATATATGATAGTGTATGGTACTATCTTTACAGGTTATACTAAGTACATGTTATACAAATGGACTAACATTGAATGACTTGTACCCATATGGTACACAACATGGGGACACCATGAGGACTGGATCCAGTCTCCCTGGAGTATCAATACAACCTCCAATCAATAATTTTGTTAGACTTAGTCCAGCTGGACTTACAGTAACAGGATATAGAGTTAGTACACAAGTACACACACACACATACACACACACACACACACACACACACACATACACACACACACATACATTATTAGTGCAATTGTACACCTGTTTGTTTAATAATTTATTGATGATTCCTCATTCTCAGTTTATAATATTTACTTATGCTCTCTATAGGTTAGACATGTAGGGTTCCTGGCAATTCAAAATGATGATGATGAAATCTTTTTACATTTGCTCCAGTCTTCAGTTGATTTTTCCAATACTGAAGTATATGGTAGGACTACTGCTGATCCAGGGCTGATAAACAGAGCAATGGATCAGATTAATGAAGCATTTCCTAATACTTTCTGCAGTACATCTCCTCCTACACAATTAATAATAGCAACTTGGATAGATTTTCAAAAAGCTGGCACAAATCCAGTTAGTTAGTATAATGATTACTTAATACATAAATTACTGTAGCTACACTCTAATCACTTTATTTATCATTTTAGGGCAGTAATTTCCAACTAGTAATTGTAACTAATGAAAGCATTACATTTGGTATTGCTCTTTATGTCAATGTGAGCATTACAACAGCTACTACTGGACTAGATTCAAACATTAACAGTAATAATATACCACCTGATCCTTCTTTCTTTCCATTTGGTACTGACGTCATGGATGCTCCTGCTATGATGCTCAATAGCAACATACCAGGGACATATATATTTTCACTGAATCATATACTACCAGGTATGACTATAGTACATGTATCAACTGCTCCATATATTCTTTTAGATACTTGCAGTTCTGTCTGCTTTTCTTGCAAGGCCAGACTTGCTCAGTTGGCATGTGAGGCTCTGAAGATTAATGGAGAAGATGTACCAGCTTCTTGTAATAACTAATACCATTTCATTTTATTCTGTTTTGTTTTTGTTTTTGTGATTAAAAAGACATGTTAGTTGTGCTTTACTTTCTTATAGCACCATAAATTATGTTTCACACAAACCTGGTATGGTATGTTCCTGGTAGACTATGTTTTTTACCTTTTTGTGTACCCAAAAGGTCTGAGACTGAATTTAATTGTGAGGTCCTATTCTGCTATGGACCAGGAATATTTTTTCTTTTCTCCCCCTGGCCTCCAGGATGTCTGGGCCTCCAGGGGCTAAAGAAATTTTATTTTTGAAACACCTTTTGTTATAAAAGAGGTCCCATCTTTACAGGTAGCTTAGATGTTAGTCTGCATGGCTGTTGGGTCTGGGCACTAGGCTAATTCCATATTTGAGCCAAATCAGCCAATTAAGCTGTCTTTGCGAGATAACGGATTTATAGTGAAGAATGCAAACATTGACAATTCCAGTAATTAGTGACAGTTAAGAAATCATACCATCATCTATCATTATGTTACAAGTAGTATAATGGTATTACGGTATGTTCGAATACACATGGGAATAAATGTTTACTTAATGAAAATGAAAATTACAATAACACTACAGGGCCCAGATCAATAACAGTTAACATTACAACACTAATAAACTTGGAAAATAAGTTCAATAACATGTATGTGAAGGTAAAAGTATCATTTGATCATTGTGACTTACTGTTAAAATTATCTTATACTGTGCAGCGTTTGTGCATAACAAAACTTATGGTGCAATAAGAAAGCAAAGCACAACTAACTATACACTAAAGACTATGACATAACATTATAATAATTATTATGAGTTAAGAAGTGGTTCTCTCTCATTGCAGGACTGATAGAAGGAACTACATTCATCTAAATCCTCCTGACGTGCAAGAGAATGACCTAATACAATATTATTCACACGAAATGAAGCAATCTTGTTAAACAGTTTCTTTCCAAATGAAAATTGGCTGATAGTGACACAAAGCAAGATGATAACAATGATGACGTGACAGAATGCATTCAAAATCGCCCATTTACTGCTAGGAGTGGAAACAACGACAATTGACCAAAAAGAACAGGAGACAATAATGATAACTGAATATATTACAGTGTTGAGGGCATTTAGGCACATGCTTTTAAAAGGATGAGAAAATCCAACTATATTCATGTACAAGCAAGTGACTGCAACACCTGCTGCTATACCT